TCCCCTTTCTTTCCTCTTCACATCTTTTATTTATTTTTTCCAAGAAAAGGGACTGCTATTGGTATAGAGGTATTTTTATTTTTTGTTCTTCCTCTCCACATTTTAATTTCTGACAGAATGAGACTCTTTGTTCTTTTCTCATACATATACTACTGGCAAGTAGAATTAAATAGCATTGAGATAGAAATTTCTTTGCTGCTTTTAGCAGCAGCAGAACAATCAAAATGGTGGACCTTGTATTTGTCCCTCTTCTTTCTTTAGAAAAGGCTCCAGCAATCAGATCCTCCTGAACCAAGGTAGTTTGAGTGGTCAGTTTTAACGAGACCAGGGTAACAGCAGGTAACCACGGTAAGTCTAATGTGACCATTATTTATCTAAATTAGAATTTGCTATTAGCTCTGTGTAAAGCCCATGGCTGTGGGCATAGGTGGCACCATGGTGGTTTGGAAAAGTTAGTAGGCAATTTTTTTTTTTTCATCTTCAGTATAGTGTTTGCAGTGAGGAAAATCAGGGTACATTCTTTGTAAACACTTTTTTTTTAAAAAAAAAATGGCATATTTTTTACAAACTTGTGTGCATCTATGATCTGTGAATTTGGGCTCTGCAAACAGGTTTGGACATAATACTGTCTGCTGAGACATTGGGGCCTGGGAGTACTGTGAGGAAAATGAAATACTGGGTTGTAACCATCTTCTTTAAGTTATATTCTAGTGTATTTTTCTGTCTCCCTGAATGAACAATATAGTTCATCTTTCAGGTGGCATAGATGATGTAAAACTTATGGTACTCGTTTTGGTGATATCCCTGTTACACTAGCCTGGATTTCCAGATGAAAAATCATGTTTCCAGGTCACAAATATGGTTCTAATACCCACATAGATAGAAGAAAATTATCCAGTGAAAATGTCATTTCATCCAGAGAGGGAATGAAAACAAATATATGCAATTCTAAGGGTTGGAAGGGACCTTAAAGATCATTCCATCCCAATGCCCACCACTGCCATGGGCAGGGACACTTCTCACGTAACCAAGGCCTTATCCAACCTACCCTCAAACACCGCCAGGGTTGGGCCATTCACAACCTTCCTGAGCAATCAGTTCCAGCGTCATTGGAAAAATGTTTCTTCTTAATATCTAACTTAAATTCCACTTCTTTCAGTCCGTATCTGTTACTCCTTGTCCTTTCACTATAGTTCCTGATAAAGTGTCCCTCTCCAGCTTCCCTGCAGGACCCTTCAGTTTCTGGAAGGTTGCTGTGAGGTCTCCTTGCAACCTTCTCTTTTGCAGGCTGAACAGCCCCAACTTTCCCAGCCATATATTTTAGTGTTTCAGCCAGCCTATTCCCCTCAGCAATAAGCAGAAACCTCATAGTACTCATGGGTAAGTGAAGGGAAAAGATCCAAGCCCACAGCCCAGCCCAAGCTTCTCTTGCTTTCTGGAAGGGTGTGGCGTGCCAGAGCTCGCTGGCAAGGTAAGCCCTGCAGGGATGATGCCCTGTGCACACATCTCCTGGGCTATAACATGCTAGATCTCCTACACGTGTGTGCGTTATCTTCTTTGTTCAACACCTAACACCCTACTTTTTTGTTCTGTAACAAGTAAATTCTCACTGGGGCTCCATTGCTCTCTTGGGTGAGACCTCCAGTGGGAATTTATTATTTACACTTCTGTGCTCCAAGATGGGCACTAGCAAGCAGACGAGTGTTTCTGGTGTAATCTGAGGTGACAGGAGATTGGAGGGGTGTGGGGACAGCCACTAGCTAGACCTCTAGTTAGAGAAATGTTTGTTGGAGCTGGGTTTTTTCCTTCCATGTTTACAAATGATCAAAGGCTCTGCTAAATGTGTTCAAAAACCTAAATAGGGATGGAAGTTAAGCAGAATTTTAATGATAAACCTCTCAGAAATGGACATTTTGGCATTTTTTTCCCCAGGTAAATGGTCAAGAGCTTAATGTTAGTCTTGAGTAGGTTTGGTGCTACTGGGGATTTCTGAAGAGCCGCAGAGTTTTAAGCAAGGTGAGGAGACACTGCATGAGGAGACAAAGGGCACGGTACCAGCGTCAGGAGGAGAAAGGGGGAAAAAATCCCAGAAAGAAGTGTAAGCTGTAGCTTGACGGTAGGGACAGGCAACTTCACGCGATAAAGGTGCACTTGAGGTAAAACTGCAAATTCCTGGATAAAAGCAGCTCGGATTGCTTTGTGGCTATAAACAGCGCTATGCTGGGGGTGGTTTCAGGGGCTACTGGCCGCAGCGCACATCGCCGGTCCCGAGGAGACAACAACGACGCTGGCCAGGGAGGTGGCAGTCCCGTCTGGCTGCAGGCCAGTTCTTACTCCAAAGGGAAAAGCAAAGAGAAAGGGCAGGTCTGGCGGCGGCGGCCCTGAGCGCAGCTCGGCCTCCGAGGCGGCC